TTCGTCTTGACGGTGCCGGCCGAGTTGCCGCTGCCGTAGTGAGCACTGCCGCAGAGCCACGAGAAGACGGGTAAACCATCGAGGCGACCGTCGGTCGGGTGCAGCCACGGGTCTTGACGCTGAGTGGAGCACCATCCGGCCCAAGGGGCCACTGCTCGGCAATGCACGGCCTTGGACGCACCAGCTTGATCGGCGAAACGCAAGTGGCGTGCTTGTACGCGGAGAGGTCCCGCACGCACGGCGGGAGGCAAACCTGAGTCCAAGTAAACGTATTAGTGTAAACCGTTGAGGAAGTTCCAGAGAGATCCAGACGCGACTGCCCGCATCCGCCAACGAGTTAACGAGGCCCGGGATGTGGTCAGCCTCGATGTAAAGTTGTGCACAGCCTCCTGCGGGGCGACCACCCGCAGGGTAAGCATGTGCGAGCGCACCCCGGGCGCGTCGTCGGTTGTACCAAGCGACGGCCGCGGAGTTATCGGGTCAAAGTCGTACACGGGCCGCAATGCGTGTCGAGGAATGAGGTGAGGCCCATGCGGGACCCCACACGAAATTGCACAGCCTCCTACGGGGCGACCACCCGCAGGGTAAGCATGTGCGAGCGCACCCCGGGCGCGTCGTCGGTTGTACCAAGCGACGGCCGCGGAGTTATCGGGTCAAAGTCGTACACGGGCCGCAATGCGTGTCGAGGAATGAGGTGAGGTCCATGCGGGACCCCACACGAAATTGCAGAAGCGATATCCATCGCTTCGCGAATGTTGAAGTTGAAGCCGACGTCCTGCTGCACGTTGTTGGTGGCAACGGCCGCGAGTTCGTCCGGCGTAAAGGCAACCCGAAGGTAGTCGCGCCGCGCGGAGGCTCATGGCGCACAGCCCGGCGACGCTGACATCCATGAACAAGAACTCGGCCACAATCGGTAGCGTCCCCGTGAGTCGGCGCAGCGAGACTCGCGAGAGGTATTGGCGGCCGAGAGTCGCGCGGAACCGCAGCAGATCCTGACAATCGCCGGCGGACAGCGGCACCGCGTCCGAGCGGCGGTGAGTCGGCTCGAGACGGCGCAAACGTTGGTAGAAGAAACGGGCGCGACCGACATGCAGAGGGCAGCGTGGCGCAACGTTCCCAGCAGTTGATCGACTGCCATGTGCGACGTCGGGGCCTGTGCAAGCATCGCTTGGATCCGACTGGTCGATCTTGTCCGCGGGCAGCGTCACCTCGGGCTGCTCGAGGTCCCACACAAGGCCCAGGGCGTCTGGCGGCGACTCCACTGCGTGAACTTGGACGCGTCGACAGCCGCCGGCCTGAGCACCGTTACCATGACGTTACGCAGCGTGCAGTCGGCGTCCACCGGCCGTGAGTCGATCGGCCACGCGTCGCACCACGTCCGGCCGCGAACGCAGACATGTCGCTGCGAGGGTGAGAGGCTCAGGCAGGCCGAGTCGCTGAGTGTACGGCCGTGATGAGCTTCCCCGCGGCCCACTACGCGTCCGGCGAGACCCTCAGCCGAACGGGCACGAGCGGTCCACCACGCCAAGGCTCGGGTAATGTTCCGCCAAAGAACCGCACAAGTCGGCGTGCACCGAGAATTGTGCCGGGAAGCGCCCGACACGTCGCCACACATCAGTGCATGTTCCATGTCGCCCGAGTCGCCGACTGCCAGGTCGACCTTTCGGTGGGCGAGCGGCATGGGTCCATCGTGCTCGACCCGACCGGCTGTCGTGTCGCGGCGTTGACCGACCGCGGACTGCACACGATACGCCCCGTCGCGACAAGATCAACGACCAGAACGAGAATCCGGTCGGCGTCCTGTCCGTCGCGAATGGCGTGCCGCGGGTGCGGCATGGCCGCGCGCCCGGACGCGTGATTCTTCAGCGGTGACCTGTCGCCCGGTGGCTCGACGAACTCCGGTTCGACCCCGTGACGCACGCACTCACGCCAGCTCGCCAATTTTTTCAGGGATCCCGCTCTGTCCAGGCTGTCAGCGCACCTTCCGAGGCACGGTGCGCGGCTCGCGTCGAGGGCACGTGCAGCACTCCCGTCCGACGCCACCGCCGTCATCTGCGCCGCTACTGCCTGCAGTCCCGCGGCATGGCCTTGGGCAAGTATGGGCCGGCAGCTCGGCGTCGGCGCATCTTGAGTCGCCGACGATCAGGTGGCTCCTGGATTTGTTGACCATCTGCGCCGCGCTCTTGACGATATCCACGAGCTCGCGGACGCAGTACTCGCCGACGATGTTCTTCAGGCCCGAGATCGCGTCCGCAAACGCGTCCAGCGTCCACGGCGCTCTTGTCGGCGTCTCAATGTTGACCTTGGCCGCAAAGTCCGTCATGTTGATGCGGCCCCACCGCCGCGTTACACTCGACGTCGGACATCCATGCAAACTGCATAAGGTGCACACCGCGGAGCCCGAAGCCCCAATCGTAGAAGTGGCGGAGAATGGCAAGCGCGGGCCGGAACATGTCGCCCTTGGGTCATCGCGCAGTCCGACGGCCACATCTGGTTGGCTTGAACGAAACGCGCCAGATCCTGCCGCGCGCTGGAGGCGTGTTGTTTCCGGCGACTCGTAGCGGCGTGTGCGCTTCGTGCTCCCGCCTAGCAGCTCTTCGAGGTCCTCTTCATCGTCCGAGTCGCTCGTCGCATTCCCGAAGCGCTTGGGTCCGGCCCGGCCATGCGCTTTCCCTGGCCCTTGTCGCGGATGGGCAGCGTCACGTCCTCGGCT